TCCACCCCCCCACCGCCCGCCCCACCGCCACCCGGACAAAGACGTCTCGAGCGCGAGCGCGTTTCCCCACTCCAGGCCGCTGTAATAGATGGCTCCGGCGGCAGGCGGTTTGAAAGGAATTCATTAGGACGCTGCTGGCTGTATTGCCTCCACTCGCTTCACGCCCAGACCCCGAGGTGGCTTAGGCGGTGTGCAGGGGGATCGTTGGAATCCACGGGGAAGGAAGTGTCTGTGGGGTCTCTGAGCTCTATCCCTCTTTCTCCACTCCTACAAAAGAAGAAAGAGAAGAAAAGGAAAAAAACAAAAACAAAACACCAAATCGAAGCCCAGGGCAAAAGGCTGATTTCTTTACGAGCATAATAAATACTCCCTCTCATTATGAGATAGTTGCAGGCACACAGGCTCTGGTGTGGTTACCGTGTTGCTTGAATACTAAGAAAAAATGTTCGACTCCCTTGCTTGATTTACGTCGCTGCAGTCGGGTCTCTTCCCCGCTTGACACCGGCGCGCGGGTGTAACCTGCTCATCTCACCCAGGCCGATTTGCCATCCACTTTGCTCTTTCGCCGAAAAAATATTGTTCTAGGGACTTCCGCCGCCTGATTACCCTCCGAGAGACCGGGATTCCTTTGATTATTTTGGTGATAATTCTACATTTAAAGTTCAGCAGGAAGATTTAGGTCCGTTGAATTATAGCCACACTTGAAATAATTTGATGGCATATTATTTGCATCCATAAATTGCTCCGGAAAGTATTGACTGCGGGGGTTATAATACTAATCTTCTTTTATTAGTGAGTTCAGAGAATTCTCATCAATATGAATTTTATTTACTAGTGTGCTTTTTCTCGAATGCAGCGCAGTAATATTTTCTCATCTAATGCTTAACTACTTAGAAAACGACTGTTCGCGTCATAAAAGGATCCTCGTGTTTCGCCGTGGTTAACAAGATTCATTCGGGGCACCTCAGCTACCTTGCAAAGCGTGCGGAGCGTGGGAGACTGCGGCTAATAAAAGCCTTTAGAGTTTCCCCCAGTCTCCTCGGAGAGATTTATGGGTAGCGAGCGACAGGTACGTGGTTTGCCCATCCTTCGGATTCCTACCTGCTTACCTCGGAACTGCCTCACACCGCACAGCCCTTGGGGTGACCCAGCTCGGCCCAGGCTGCGCAGGAAAACCGGCCGGCACAGACCTTTGCAACTTTGCCTTAAGAGGTCCTCCACCAACAACTCCCTGGGATTAGGAAGAAGGAAGGACGCCACCGAAGGGACACCTGGGTCCTCCAACTCTAGTTAACTTCCGCGAACTGCCCCCCCCCCCACACCCCTACCCAGGAAAGCTCCGGCGAAGAAGTTGGCCCACCCCTCGGGCACTTTCCTCGGCCAGTGCCAAGATCGTATTAAGCCACTTAAAACCCCAGACGTCAGTAAAAGTGGTGGTAATTAAGTTGTCTCCGCGCTTCGGGGCTGTCCCAGGCAACGCTTGCACGCAGGTGTATGACGGCTGAGTACAAGATGCTAAGTGTACAAGTAGATGAATATTCACGCGGCAAACTTGCGTCGGCCTGGCGAGTCCAGCCCGGAGGAGGCGGCGCGGCGAACGGCGTGTTTCCAGGCAGCCGCCAGGGTCGAGGTCGCGGGCGGTGCAGGAGAGGGGGCAGCGTGGGCGCCCCAGGTTCTTCGTGGGTGCCGAGAAACCCGCAGACCTAGCCGGGCCCGGCGCGCCCGCCCGCCACCCAGTCCCAGGAGGCCGGCTGGTTTCTCTGGCAACCGTGTTGTTTTTATTTATAGAGACTTTGAGTGGCCTGATCATTCGGTCATTGCACTAGCTCTCGCTCCTGGCAATAGTTGGGAAATAGCTTGGGATGGCTTTTATTTGCGGAAGAGCAATTGAGATTCACACCCAGCAAACTCACAACAGTCCCTCCCAAGCCCAAGACGCACTTACAAAGGGGTGCTTGTGTAAAAAATTCCCCATCAGACACACCAATTTGCAAGTAGCAGAAAGCATTGAAGTCTCATCTTTTCTAACTATTTTATTCAGCTTTTTTTTTTTTTTTTAATCTGAAAGCCCAAAATAGACTCCATGTGGTTCTAAGTGAAGTCAGCCCTTGGCTGGCTTTGAAATAGCCCCTGCAATTATGTAAAAGAGCCATTCACTAACAGGACGGAATTAAAAGGGATCTCGCCCGCTTCCCTTTCATTGCCAACCTCTCCTGTTTGGCTTTTCAAAGCACTTCCAACACGATGTCTTTCTCCAGGACAAAAGGCAGAACAAAAAAAGTCCCCAAACTTGTAAATTGAACGTCAAGGGAACTTTAAACAATTTAAAGCCCATAAATAATGATAAAGGGGACCTGGCAAAAAAGGCAAACCCATTCAATTAATAGAGTTTCCCAAGCAAAGATCAAGTGGTTTATAAAATGAAAGTCTTTGGTTTCATTATTCTGCTCCTTGACCATGCAGAAAGCAGGACAGGGGGTTTTTCTAAAGCGCCCTGAAGAAGAAACACTTTTCGGGGCTGTGTGCCGCGACATTCTTATGTAGAAAGTTTCGCTTTTTGTCCCCCACCCTCAAAGTAGCAGCAACAAAACCCGCAAACACCAGAAACGTGAAGGGGAGGAGACTTTTGTTTTGTTTTGTTTTGCATTTTCCTGGGGGGCGGGGAGGAGGTTGGAAAATGTTCCCCTCAGGCCTGAAGGGCGGGAAACGTGACCCCTAACACCTGCGCCGCCCTCCCCACCCCAGTGCGGAGGAACCGGCGGGACCACGACCTGGTGGCCCGCGACCCGTGCCCTCGTGCGATCTGGGGGCCGGGATGAGGCGTTCTTGCACCACCCGGGAGGCTGGGGACTGCGGGCGTGGACGCGCTGACCCGTCACCCTACCTCGGGCTCGGGCTGCAGAGCCTGGGCCTAGGCGTCCGAGGGCGCAGGCAGGGGTCCTACTTCCTTTTCTGAAAAGCCCTACAGGTTGGAGCGGCGAGTGCGTGACCCACTGGGGGTACTGGATGGACCGAGAAGCCCTGAGCCCGCGCTCAACGCTAATCGCCCAGGCAGCACCCAGCCCGGGCGGGGGTGGGGGGCGGGGAGCGGTGGCAGGGGGATCCTCTGCGGGGACTGAGCCGGTCAGCCCCGGTTTCCCAGGCTGGGAAGAGGGCGCGAGCCGGGCCGGAGGGCTGCATTTGGGAGACGGAGGCTGGGGCGCGGGCGGTGAGGGGCAGCGAGGGCCCGGGCCGAGCAGGGTCTGGGAGGCCGTGCGGTCCGCGAACCCCCGGCCCCGGGGCGCTGGGGAGGGAGGCGCAGGCCGCGTGGCGTTTCTCACCTGGCTCTGTCTCCTCCCATCTGCGCCCTCGGATTCCCGCGGCCCCACCTTTCGGGGACTTCAAACGGCGCCCCCGCCACCCTGCGCCCGACTTTCATCTCCCCGCACAGCGGGCATTGTTTGCGGGACTTCACAGATATGCTAATCCCGGGGCCGCGAAAACGGCGGCCTGGGAGGCGGGCAGAGGGCACGGAGGGGTGAGGAGGGGCGCAGCCAGCACTGGGGCCTCGGGGACCGCCTGAGGAGCAGGCCTCCTGGGACGCGGGGATCCGCTACCGTCCCCGGGTCCCGTCCTGCCCGCTGGCCGCGGCCGGCGTCTAATGGATGCTGAAGCGGGAAGCGTCGGGCTAGCGACCATGGCCCGGGCTCAGCCGTGCGCCCTACGCGCTTCCACCGCTCGAGAGGAGACCCGGTGTCCGGGCGCGTCTCCCCGGGTGGCTGGGGGTCTCGAGACCCCCGGGGTCCTCGCAAACCACGGCCCCTGCCGCCACCCCTCGACAGCCCAGACCCCAGCAGGCG